TTCCAGAGCAGCCTACCATGTGGAACCTTATCAAAGGCCTGACTGAAGTCCATATAGACTACACCCTACAGCCCTGCTCTCATCAACTTTCCTGGTCACTTCATCAAAGAACTCTAAGAAATTTGTGATCATGATCTCCGATGCATGAAGCCGCGCTGACTATTCCTATTCAAACCATGTCTTTCCAAATGCATGTATATCTTATCCCTCAGAATCTTCTCAAGTAACTTGCCTACCACAGATGCTAAGTTTACTGGTCTATAATTCCCAGGTTTTTCTTTGCAGCCCTTGTTGAATAAGGGCACAACATTCGTGACACTCCAGTTTTCTGGAATCTCACCTGTGGCTAACGATGATGCAAATATATCAGCCAGAGTCCCCGCAATTTCTTCTGTAGCCTCTTACAGGGTTCTTGGATATATCTGATCAGGACCAGGAGATGTATCCACCTTCATACATTCTAATACGTCCAACACCACCTCTGTGACCAACATTTCTGGGAGCCCGTGTATTGCAAAAGATGCTCACAGTTTTTCTATCATCATTCCCCTATTTGACAAATGAACTCTATGCACGTCCAGTCACTTTGAATGGACAATCACAATGACTAAGAATGTTGAGCCATGAAAGTGCCGGTATAGTCGATGTGTAACTGAATCCAGGATTTACCTCACCAATCCCATGAATGTGGGGGAGCTGCTGGTCATAATGTTTGCCCTTGTTGGTACTCTGGGCACTACCCCACCAATGTGGCTATGTCTGCATCCAATCCCTGGCCACCAGGCAACTTCACACCAACATCTTCATTTTAGACACTCCTGGATGATGCTGGTAGAGTTCAGCCAGTATCTGCTGGTGACCTTTGCTCAGCACAATCACTCTTGCTCCCCATAATATGAGGTCATCCTCTACAGTGATCTGCTCTCTCCTGGTCCAGAAAATGTTTCAATTCTGGTTGTGATGATCCTTTTGTTACCCCCGTCACCACCGCTTAGTTTTGCTGGGATGGGACCTTTTTGTGTCCACAGTCTGATATTGTCAGCGGTGACCAAAAGAGTGTCTAGAAAATTTAAAACCAAAATGGACTCTTCCAGTGGCAGCACCACCCGTGGTATCTGCCAGCGGGAGGCGGCTCAGTGCATCCGCATTTGCTACCTGTCCTCTTGGACGGTGTTCCGACTTGTAACTGTATGTACTTAGAACGACAGCCCACCACTGAGTTCAACCTGAAGCTATGGACAGCATGGCCTTATCCTTATTGAATAGCCCTAGCAGGGGTTTGTGTTCTGTTACTATTACAAATTTACATCTGTAAAGGTATTGGAAGAACTTTCCCACAGCAAAGATGACCACCAAACCTTCCTTCACTATCTGGGTGTATTTGTGCTCTTCATCAGCTAAAGTCCACGAAGTGTACACTGCTGGATAGTCCTCTCCATTGGGCCACCCACTGAGCAAACACCAACCCGATGCCATACGGGGAGGCATTGCATCTCGGCACCAGATCTTGCTTGGGATCGTAGTGTGCCAACACCTTAGACAATGATAGCTGCGTCTTGACTTCCCTAAAGGCTACATTTTATCTTGTGAGGAAATTTCTTCAGGAATGTTTTTTTTTGCTCTTGTTCCCACTGAAATAACACCACAGACACCAGTATCCCATTACCAAGTCAAGTTTTATTTACATGTGCACTGTGTTTGACACTGGCCTGGCTCCCTCAGAGCTAGCTGTCAGAGTGAACAGAATGGTTGACACCCCGTTTATATTGTTTTTACTTTTTTTTTCTTTTTACCAGATAAAACAATGCAGTATAACTCTGAAATAACTGCACAGAGGCCAGTATCTCCGCCCAAGCCCCGCCACATCCCCACCCCCGGTCACTTGTGCACAGTACACAGTGCACAGCCAGCTCGGAGTCAATCTCCTGACTGAGGAGATTCTAAATTCCCTGTTCATATTTTTTTCCTTTTTTTTGCTGTTACCCCTGTTTACATCAGTCAGCCAGGGCTCCCTGATTGGACCAGATTGACAGCCCCAATCAGGGAATTCCCTCTCTCTTTAAAAGCGAGGTTACATTTGCCACATATCAATCTGTAGGAACTGTTCCAGAGTCTATAAAGTTTTGGAAGGTGTCATACAACACTTCCCATATTTCCAGGGCCATTTCCATTAGCACTCTCAGATGTAGATTATCAGGCCCCGGAATTTGTCAGCCTTTAATCCTATTATTATCCCACGTAGCATTTTCTGACTAATGCTGATTTGTTTTTTCCAATTCCACCCTCTCGCTAAACCCTTGGTTTCCTAATATTTCTCGGAGATTTAGCAAAGGCAAAACCAAAGTATATTTTCCATTCTGCTATTTCTTTGTTCCCCACTATAATTTCCCTACCTTCTGACAGTTAGAAACCTATGTATATCTTTAATAATTTTTTTCACCTATTTAGAGGCGCATTTACAGGTTTTAATGTTTCTTGACATATTCTCTATTCTATACTTTCATATTCTATTGTTCTCTTCTTGGTCAACCTTTTTAGAATCAGAATCAGAACAGCCTTTATTGTCACGTTAACTTGAATAAGTACAGTGAAAGTTTGTAATGTCACCTCTCGGCGCCATCTTAGATACAGGGTACTTAGGTACAGATACTTTAAGTGAATTGAAATAGTAAAAGAAATAGACTAGCATAGGAATACGGAGTTTAGAAAGTCCAGAATGATAATAAAAAGGATCTTTAAAGTACTCAAATTATAGTCCTTTTTCTCTCCAGAATCTGTGCCCACCGGGCTTCAGAACACAAGGCCTCGCTGCCTCCATGTGCAATCAGGGAGCCCTGGCTAATAGATATAAACAGTAGATCAGCTTGCCTCGGCAGCTGGACAGAACTGCTCAAAGTGCTGTCTTACAGGAGTCAAGTGCTGCTCATAAACTGGCCTCCATGTGTTGTGGTACTGGCTGGGCCCTTTGGTCCTTCCTCCTGGTTTTGTTGCTGACATTTAGAGAATGTTTGTTCACTTCTTCTGGGAGGCGATGGCCTAGTGGTATTATCACTGAACTGTTAATCCAGAGACCCAGACTCTGGGGACCTGGGTTTGAATCCACGGCAGATGGTGGAATTTGGATTCAATAAATATCTGGAATTAAGAATCTAATGATGACCGTGAGTCGATTGTCAATTGTCAGAAAAAAACCATCTGGTTCATTAATGTCCTTCAGGCACGTTAGGAAACTGCCATCCTTACCTGGTCTGGTCTACATGTGACTCCAGACCCACAGCAATGTGGTTGACTCTGAACTGCCCTCTGGCCAATAAATACTGCCTGGCCAGCGACGCCCTCATCCTGTTAATGAATAAAGGAAAAGATGCACTGGGTCGCAGCACAGGTTCTGAGTCTCCCTATTGAGGAGGGTGGTCAGGGGCTGGTGTGTGTCTGCAGCCAATTGGCGATTTTTCCCTTCAGACCTTGCAGCGATACCTTTATGTTGAGCCTCCTCCTCAGTGGTGCCCCCTGGCGATGTAGTTTTTTCTACCAGGTGTGTAACCTCAATTGCAATATGCAATATGCAATATGTGACGGTCTGGAGGTTGCCCTCAGGACACTGGTCGTCTTTTAGCAGGACCTGATCACTGTCCACCTGCACCGCGCCAACCCATCATCAGTCGTAGCAACTGCTGTTAGAGAGCCGCTGCTCAGGAATCCACACCTCTGTAATCGCAGTTCCAATTGGCTGTCGGAGGAGAGGGCCGTGGTTGCGGGCATTGACCAGAGAAAGGGACATGCTGGGTGGTGGGGGGCCCTGGTCTGGATCCTGCTGCAGGAATTGGCGCACAGGGTCATGGTAGACATCTGGTTTGTGGCCACCATCATTCAACGCCTGAAAACGGTGGTGCTCGTACCAGACGTTGTGCATCAGTTGGAGGATGCTCAGGCATGCGGTGGGATCCCGTCTGTGCGTACCCCTGCCAGGACAGAATTTCACATTGGCTCCGAGATTCCGCACCTCCCCCCGGGAGCCTGTGCCCCACAACCTGAGCTGCCTCCAGAATTTTAGTTTTGTGCCTTTCAAAAATGTGAAACGGTGGGACCAGTACAGACTGCTGCTGTACACCTTCCACCTCTTCTCCTTCACCCACCGCCTGGGCACACCTTGCCCTGACCAATTACCACCTGGCGGTGAGGATCCCCAGTGGAGGGCTCTCTACGCGGGAGTCCTCCCCCTTTCCCTCAGGGATCTGAGGGGGGGGTGGTGTTGCACACAGCAGACTGCGGTGGTTCACAGACTCCCAGCCCAATTGTCTGTTTTGTGGCACTCTGGAGTCCGTGGACCATGTGTATATATTGGTGTGGGCACTTGCACTCTCTTTTCAATTAACTCAAAGACCTTCTTTTGTGTTTCTGGCTGCACTTCAGCCCCACGTTCCTGCCTTGAGTACCTGGTGCGGAGGCGAGCGGGAAGATCGGAGGATCTCCTTGTGAGTCTGCTCTTGGGCCTGTGCTTGGCCATTAATAGGTCCAGGCAGCAGGCTGTGGAGGGGGTTGTTATGGTCGACTGCCTGCCCCTCTTCCTTGGCTACATGTGGGCCCAGGTGTCCCTGGAAAGGGAGCACGCAGTGTCCACCAGGTGAGCCTTTCGGGAGAGGTGAATACTGCAGGCTGTGGAGTGCTTTATTTCCCCCACAAACTCTATTTTGATTTGATCCCTTTCCTCTCCCTCACTTTTTCGTTCACATAGGCATTGCCCCCAGAGGGGCTCTGCTTGTCACTGGTCACATGGGTGTTTTTACTGGTGGTGGATTATCAATAAAGTTATTTACACAGCTCGTATTTTTACTGTGTCTCGCACCTACACACAAAAAAGGGAAAAAAAACAAAGAAAAAGATATAAACAAGAGATTCAGCGATTCCCTTCATTCTAGGTAATGGCTCTGTGCTGGCTTTTCAGAGTCCACGTCCTACGCAAATGGAAATAATAGGCAATGGAACAGTGTCCTCTGTGCAGTTATTTTACCAGCTTTTTATGATTTATGCATGAGGACTCCCAAATCCCTCTGCTCTACAGTTTTCTGCAATCTTTCTACATTTAAATAATAACCCAGTTACTCTATTCTTCCTGCAAAAGTGCACAATCTCACATTTTCCCATATTCCTTCTCTTTTCTCACCAGCCGAATCCCTCCTCACTCTCTTCCCCCGTGCATCCCCACTTCCACAACCCCCTCCCAGTCTCTTGTTTCATGGCAAACAGTCAGTCTCTACTTTAAGGACTGTTTTCGGTCTTGCACTGTTTCTGTAAAGACAGTTTGTAACTGACAGCACCTGTAGGCAATAGGTTCCCGTGACCACTTGCAATAACATTTCTTACCTCAGCTTCCTTCTTCCTTAACTCCTCTTTGCGTTTTTCTATCATTTTAGCCATTTTTTGAGGCATTGGTTTAGAGACATGGATCAGAGATGCCTGGATCTTAGCCATCAGTTCTTCATTTTTCCTTTTGGCTTCTCGGAGCTGAAACAAATAGAAATAAAGAGAAATAAGCGTCGTGCTGGGGCGGGGCAATAAAGGGAAATGAGTGTCACACTGGGACAGAGCATCACACGAGGGTTATTGGTTAAAAATGAGGGGTTCCCCATTTAATACAGAGATGAAACATTTTGTCTCTGAGAGTTGTGAATCATTGGAATTCACTTCTTCAAAAGCAGTAATGCAGAATCTGTAACTACTTTATTTACTAGGGGATTGGAAGATTATTGGGGATATGCAGGAATGTAGAGTTGTGGTTAAAATCAGATCAGGCACAACCTTATTGCATGGTGGAGCAGGCTCAAAGGGCTGACTGGCCTACTCTTGTTCCTCGATTGTTTCCTTATAATGTTCGATAATCCTCTTGATTCTCAACTATATTTTTGTCCTAACACTTTTCATAAGCACACTTCTTCTACTTCATCTTAATTTCTATCTCCTTTGTCATCCAGGGGGCTCTGCATTTGTTTGTCCTAACATCCCCTGTCAAGGGAATATACCTCGACTGTGTCCCCACATCCATCTCCTGTTTGAAGGGAGACCATTGTTAGATATGGTTTTGGTTTCAGTTTCTCTGGCCCAGCTCTGGGCTTGTCCCACTGCAGTCTGCCCTCTGCCAGGTGATTATTCTCACCGTGGATTGGGTCATTGGCCTGGGGTACAATTCTCACTTTGGAACATTATAGCATCAATGCAAGAGGTTGTGGGTTCAAATCCCAGACAAACCTCGACCCCCCTCATTAAATCAAACAAAAAGTGAGAGGGAATAGGTTTAAAATGCAAATGAAACAAGTGTGAGAAAAAAACCCTTTCCAACCAGCGAGTGGTTTGGGCCTGGAAATGTGGGGGAGGCAACTTCAAATGAGGAATTCGGGAGGGAACTGGACGGTTATTTGGATTGAAACAGTGAGCAGGAAAGGGGGAGAAAGGACAGGAGATTGATGCTAGGTAATAGAACCAGTGCACACATGATGGGCGAAATGGTCTCCTCCAGCACTGTAATAATTCTGTGACTGATGACCAATGTCATTCCCTACTGTCTTCCTAAACCTCGTGATACAATGATTGCTATTCCCTAAATGGTTCCCCATTGTCACTTTATCTACTTGGCCCACCTCATTCCAAAGAACCAGGACTAGCAGTGCCCCCATTGTTGTTAAACTGGACACATACTTGTGCTGAAAATACTCCTGAACTTAATGCAGAATATTTGCCCCTTGCTGCCCCTAACACTACTGCTGTGCCAGTCTATATGTGGGTAATTAATAGAATAGAATATCCTTTCTTGTCACTTGTACTCCAGTGAAAAGTTTTTTACATTGGCTGTCTTTTAATGGTGCCATCTTAGGTACAAGCACCTACGTACAAATCTTACAGATTTAAAAATAGTGTTGTTATTCAAAAGAGTATTAAAAGGAAAGCAAATGAGGTAATTATAACATAGTGAAAAGGATTTAAATTACAGTCCGGTAAGGAGTTCCAAACAAAAATTCCAAATTAAAGTGCCCCGTTATAACTATTGATGTTTTACATCCTGCAATAATTTCCTTGCTAATTTGATCTTGTGCATCCTTCCCGGCAGCTAGTGGTCTGAACAATGTAATTGCACCCTTCTTATTCCTTAGCTCAATCCAAACTGAAACCTCTCAATCATCCTCTTTCTACAGCACTGTAATGTACTCTTTAACAAAAAATACCACTCCTCCTGCTTTTTCTCATTTCCTATCTTTTCTGAACACCTCAAAACCAGAATTTTTGAAACCCACATCTGTCCTTCCTTAAACCAGTTCTCTATCATTGCTGACAAGGCAATATGTGCCAGTTACTCCCTAATCTTAGTAACAATACATCATGCATTCACACTCAGGCCATGTCACCCTGCTTTAGACTTCATTACTTTCTCTCTTATCGGATTCCACTGATGAACTTACTATTCTCTAAGCTAGTGCTATCTGCCTCTCCCACTGCTTCCTGCACCTTGATATTATTTTTGAACATTCTTACCTGGTTTCCACACTCATGCCAAATTATTTTAAACCCTCCCCATCAGCACTCGAACCATTTGCCACAAGGACCTCAGTCAAATCTCATCTAAACTTCCTGCTCCTTACCTTGAATCTATGCTCCCTACTTACTGATCTCCTATGGAAAAAAGTTCCTTCCTATCTCCACTATCTATGCACCTCAGCCTTCTCTCCTTTGAAGAAAACGCCTCCAGCTTATCCAGCCTCTCTTCAAAGCTAACCTGCTGCATCCTGGTGAATCTCCCTCCGGACTCCCTCCAGTACAGTCACATCCTTCCTACAGTGTGGGAACCAGAACTGTCAGTGTTCCAGCTGGAGCTGAACTAATCTTGTACGTTTCATCCTCCTCCTCCCTGTTCTGCTGGGCCATCTGTGGAGCTACCTTCTGAGGAAGGGTCACTGGACCCAAAACGTCAACTCTGTTTTTGCCTTCACAGATGCTGCCAGACCTGCTGAACTTTTCCAGCAACTTTGTTTTTGTTGTGGAGCTACAGGCTTGGCTCTTGCTGCACTCAATCACCGATGTCCTGAACTGAAAATCGGTTAATGAGCTGAACGCCTGCTTGCACGGCCTGCCTGTTTCTCTTGGACTGCCTGGTGGTCACACATTCCCTGCCTGCCTGCTTGTTGTTAATTCATGCTGTTATCACATAATTCTCAACGTCACAGATAAACTTAAGTGACTCTGGCCACTGCTGTGAAACCTGCAGCATGTGACCTGACTGCACATGCGTTTAACTTGGTCACCACAAGTGTCCATGGCACCCGACCTGCCACAGGATGAGCCAAGTTGCTCTGCCATACCTTAAATCATCGTTTGAAGTTACATCACTTACTGCAACTTTGTTTACTTTAACTTACTTTAAATTTACTATTAACTAAAATCTGGAGTTTAATAGAAGGTAGAGCTTCTTTACCATACTCACAAATCAGCTCCCTCTCTGTGCCTACAATTCATTCCTTGCGCTAGTTTAGAATTACATTCTTCAAAATTACTAGAAACACAGCTCCTAACAACCAATCAACTCACAATTTTCCTGTGTGTCAATCAGACTTTATTTTCTCTGCTCCTCACACTGTTTTACCTGCCGTCTGCTTCCCTTCCCTCCTCTCTCTCTCTCTCTCAGGATTTTAGATGCTGATTACTGCCTCCAGGTCGACTCTCACCTGCTCTTTTTCTCTTCCTCTTTCTCCATCTCTCCATGTCCCTCTGCCCCACTTTCTCTCCTTCCTTCATGACCTCTCCTGCACTCCCTCTGTCTCTCTCTCTCTCTGTCCCAGCATCTCTCTCCCATTGCCAGTCTCTCTCTCTCTCTCTCTCACTCCTTTCCAAGCTCTCTCGCTCCCTCTATCACAATCTTTCTCTTTCTATCCCAGTGTATCTCTTTCTCCCTGTTTCCCAGTCTCCCTCCCTCTCTCTCCATTTCCAAGTTTGTCTCCCTCTTTCCCTGTCTCTCTCCCCATTTTCCATGCTCTCTCTTGCTCTGTTCCAATTTCTATCCCTCCCTCATTCCCAATCCCTCGCCATGTCTCACCGATTCCTGGTTTTCAGTTCTCTGCTGTTCCAGGATATTTTGTTTTTTATGTAGCTCTTCCTCATGTTTCTGGTTCACCTCCTCTTTCATCTCCTTGCCCAGAGCTACAAATTGGCTTGAGACATTGCGTAGGATCACATCAACTTCACGTGGAATCATCGACTTCAGACGCTGCAAGGAAAAGTGAAGAGAAACCAAGAATGAGTTCAGGAATATTAATTATAGTGGCCTATGCAATTGTAGCAATTTTGAGCAGAGCAGTGACCATTCTCATCACTACATCGGAGTGATGACATTGCAAACAGGAAGTTGAATTGTACAACAAATAATCGCAAAAATCAACAAAAGCAACAACTAGCTCTATATCACCGTATCAATCCCCAACTAATCCCACTGACCTGCTCTCCCCATAGCCCCGTATCAATCCCCAACTAATCCCACTGACCTGCTCTCCCCATAGCCCTGTATCAATCCCAACCTAATCCCACTCCCTTCTCATAGCCCTGTATCAATCCCCAAACTAATCCCACTGACCTGCTCTCCCCATAGCCCTGTATCAATCCCAACCTAATCCCACTCCCTTCTCATAGCCCCGTATCAATCCCCAAACTAATCCCACTGACCTGCTCTCCCCATAGCCCCGTATCAATCTCAAACTAATCACACTGCCCCGCTCTCTTCTCATAGCCCTGTATCAATCCCCAAACTAATTTCAGTCGTGCTGTCTCCCCCTAGCGCTGTATCAATCTCAAACAAATCCCACTGCCCGACTCTCTCCCAATAACTCTGTACCAATCTCCAAACTAACCTGATCGACCTGCTCTTTTCTCATTGACCTATATTAATCTCCAGACTAATCCCACTGCCTTGAGCTCTCTCCCTAGTTCTTTATATATCCCTGCAACAAATAATGATTTAAGTTTTCCTCAGATGTTTCCTTTCTTTGAGTCTTTTGTGGGTCTTTTTACAATTTTACAAGTACTTTGTATAATCACTGCAGATTATGGAATGTGGAATATTACCAGAAGTCAACATAAATCCAGCATCACTATTTGAGCTGCTCCCTTCAAATCAGCAAAGTGATGACAATGTGGAAAATTGCCCAAGTATATCCTGTACACAAAAAGCAGGACAAATCCAACTCGGCCAACAACCGCCCCATCAGTCTCCTCTCGATCATCAGTAAAGTGATGGACGGTGTCAGTAACAGTGCTATCAAGCAGCATCTGCTCAGAAATAACCTGCTCAGTGACGCCCAGTTTGGGTTCTGCCAGGGCCACTCAGCTCCTGACCTCCTTACAGCCTTGGTTCAAACGTGGACAAAACAGCTGAATTCCAGAGGTGAGATGAGAGTGACAGCCCTTGACATCAAGGCTGCATTCAACCAAGTGTGGCATCAAGAAGCCCCACCAAAACTGGAGTCAATGGGAAATCGGGGACCAAATCTCTGGTGGTTATAGAGGAACACTTAGAAAGGTTTGAGGTAATCATGTAGAATCAACATGGCTCTGTGAAAGATAAATCATATTTACCCAACTAGCAAAGTTATTTGAAGTTATAGTATGTGGCATGAACAAGGGGGAAGCAGTGGATCTACTATACTTACAGTTCCAGAAGGTGTTTGATCAACGGTCACAAGGACAACTAGGATGGGCAATTAAAGATGCCTGCCTAGCAAGCAAAGTCCACATCCCATGAGTGAAAATAAAAACATTGAAGGTTACTGAGGAAAGTAAAAACTAGTAGTAGCATATTGCCGTGTATAGAAGACTGATTGGCTAACCGGAAGCAGAAGGTAAGTATAAATGTGCCTTATTCAGGTTGGAAATGTAATGTGTAATGGATCAGAGCTGTGCCTCAAGTTAGATCAATCTTTTGGACGAAGGGACCAAGGTATGGTTGACACCTGCAATAAAGGAACATCTATAATTATTGGTGATTTTAATCTGCATATAGATTGGGCAAATCAATTTAGTAATAATACAGAGAAGGAGGAGGAATTCCTAGAGCATATAAGGGACAGTTTTCTGGATAAATATGTTGAGAAACCAATGAGAGAACAGGACAAACTAAACTGGGTATTGAGGAATGAGAAAGAAATAATTGGCAATCTACATGTGCAAGTCCCCTTACGGAACAGTGACTATAATATGATAGAATTGTTCATCAAGATGGAGAGTGACACAGTTATTCAGAGACTAGGGTCCTGAATCTAAATATAGTAATTTACTATGTTATGAGGTATGATTTGGCTATATTAGATGAGGGGATATTACTTAAAGGGATGATGGTAGAAAGATAATGGCAAACATTCGAAGAGCGCATTGATGAACTGCAACGATTGTACATTCCTGTCTAGTATAAAAACAAAACGGGAACAGTGACACAACCCGTAGCTAACAATTGTGAAGAGTAATGGGTCCAAGGGAGGGGCATACAAATTGCCAAAAAAAAAGCAACAGACCTGATTATTGGGAGCAGTTTAGAATTCAGTAAAGGAGGACAAAGGAATTGATTAACTGGGGGAAAACAGAGAATGAGAGTAAGCTTGCAGGGAACATACAAACTGATTGTAAAAGCTTCTATGGGTATGTGAAGAGAAAAAGATTAATGAGGACAAATATACATCACTCAAAGTCAGAAACATAAGCAGTTTTAGTGGGTTACAAAGAGACAGTAGTTCAAATAAATACATACATTGGTTGTGACTTATCAATGGAGATTGCAAACAAAATCCTTAAACTGTCAGGGAACACAAGACCTAGTGAGAGGGAGGAACTAAAGGAAATCAGTATTAGTAGGGAAATGGTGTTGGGGAAACTGATGTTATTAAAGGCCGACAAATCCCCAAAGTCTGATAATCTTCAACCTGGACTACTTAAGGAGGTGGCCCTAGAAATAGTGGATGCATTGGTGGTCATCTTCTAAGATTCTTTAGATTCTGGAACAGTTCCTATGATAGTAAAATGTAGGGTACGCAGGGTAGATTGATCTTAGTAGGATAATAGGTCGGCACAACATCGTGGGCCAAAGGGCCTGTACTGTACTGTTCTACGTTCTATGTTCTATGAATCGGAGGGCACCTTATGTAATCCCATTACTTAAAAAGCAAGGTAGAGGGAAAATAAGGAACTATAGACCAGAGAGTCTGGCATTGGTAGCGGGAAAATGTTAGAACTCCCTTACACAAGATTTAATAGTAGAGCACTTGGAACGCAATGGCAGATCAATCATGGACTTATGCAAGGGAAATTTTTCGAAGATGTAATGAGTAGGATTATCGAGGGGGATCCAGTGAATGTGGTTTACTTGGACTTTCAAAAGACTTTGAATAAGGTCCCATGTAAAAAATAGTGTGTAAAATCAAAGCACATGGGATTGGGGTAATGTATTGTGGATAGAAAACAAGTTGGCAGACAGGAATCAAAGGGTAGGAATAAACAGGTTTTTTACCAAATGCCAGGCAATGGCTAGTGAGGTATCTCAGAGAATGGTGCTTGGACCCCAGCTATTCACAAAATATGCGAACGATTTAGTTGAGAGAATTAATTGTAATATCTCCAAATTTGCGGATGTCACAAAGCTGGGTGGTGGTGAGGTCTGAAAAGGATGCAAAGATGTTGCTGTGTGATTTGGACTAGTTGAGGGAATGGGAGAATGCATGGCAGATGCAGTATAATGGGGATAAATGTGAGATTATCAACTTGGGTAGCAAAAACAGGAAGGCGAATTATTATCTAAATGCCGTTAAGTTGGGAAAGGGGGAGGTGCACTGAGACCTTGGTGTCCTTGTACACAAATCGCTGAAAGTAAGCATGCAGGTACAACAGGCTATGAAGAAGGCAAATGGTATGTTGACCTTCATCATAACTGGCTTTGAGTACAGGAGCAGGGATGTCCTTGCTACAGTTGTACAGGGCCGTGGTGAGACCACACCTGAAACAATGTATACAGTCTCCATATCTGAGGAACGACGTTCTGGTGATGGAGGGAGTGAAACAAAGGTTTCTCAGACTGATTCCTGGGATGGCAGAATTGATGTAAGAAGGGAGGCTGGATCAGTTCGGACTACATTCACTGGAGTTTATAAGAATGGGAGAAGCCACATAGCAACCTATAAAATTGTAACAGGACTAGATGGAGTAAACACAGGAAGGATGTTCCTAATGACCAGGGAGCCCAGAATCAGGGATCACAGTCTAAGGATATAGAGTAGGCCATTTAGGACTGGAACTGAATTGAGTAGAAATGACATTCCCGAGACTGGTGAGAATTCTCTACAACACAAAATGGTGGAGGCAAACCCATTGAATAATTTCAAGAAAGATGTAGATGTTGTTCTTAGGGCCAACGGGATCAAAGACTGTGGAAAGAAAGCAGGAGCAGGGGACTGAGATGGATGATCAACCACTGAATGGCAGAGCAGGCTCAAAGGGCTGAATGGCCTACTCCTGCTGCTCATTCCTATGTTTCTATGCTCTGACCTCATTGTACATCTTGCTGCTGATGCTGGCCAGCTTGGCTGTTGCAGATGGTCTCATGGTCTCCATGGCAAGCTTGGACAGCTGAGCCTTCTCTTTCCGGCGCAGTGCAATGTAGATCTGGTACAGGAGGCGTGTGGCAACTCCAGGCTCCTGCTGAACCAGTCCCATCACCACTTTGTCGCTGATCATCACCCCCAAGAGCTGTAGAGTCGGTAACAGACGCTGGAAATTATTGATCTGAGAAATTGTGTTCCTGATCAGAGAAACAAAGAACAATGAGAGGACAGAAGGCTGGAGTCCTGGGTCCATGGACCTGATAATATGGAACTGTGGATGTTGGAAACCTGAAACAAAAACAGAAATTGCTGGAGGAGCTCAGCAGGTATCACAGCATCAGTGGAGAGAAAACAGAGTTAACGTTTCAGGTCTGGTGACTCTTTTTTTACTCTGTTCTGGTAGATTTTACTCTGATATATCATATTACTCTGTTCTGGCATTGTTCAACCTACCCTGCTCATTGGTGTTACACTGCATACTGGATACTTGCCTAATCAACAATATTCAGTGACTAGGGTGACACTACACATTGCCTTGGTTCAAAATATGTACTGGCTGGGGTTACATTGTATGCTGGCTGTGATTGGACCACAAGACCATAAGATACAAGAGCAGAATTAAGCCAATTGAGCCATCTAGTCTGTTCTGCCATTCAATCATGGCTGGCTGGAATGTTTTTCAACCCCATTCTCCTCCCTTCTCCCTGTAACCCTTGATCCCCTCACCAATCAGGAACCTATCTATCTCAGCATTAAATCCACTCAATGACTTGGCCTCCACAGCCTTCTGTGGCAATGAGTTCCAGAGATTCACCACCCTCTGGCTGAGGAAATTCCTCCTCATCTCACTTCAAAAGGGTCATTCATCCCTTCACTCTGAGGCCATGCCCTCGGGTCCTAATCTTTCCTACTCGTGGAAACGTCTTCTCCACATCCACTCTATATAGGCCTCTCAGTAAGTATCAATGAGATTTCCCCTCATCCTTCTAAACTGCATCAAGTACAGTCCCAGAATTCTCAACCACTTCTCACATGATAAGTCCTTCATCCCAGAGTCATTCTTATAAATCTCCGCTGGACTTCCTTCAACCCCAGCACATCCTTCCTTAGATACAGGGCCCAAAACTGCTCACAATGTTCCAAATGGGTTTGACCAGAGCCTGAGACAGCCTCAGCAGTACATCTCTGCTCTTGCATTCTAGCCCTCTTGAAATGAATGTTAACATTGCATATACCTTCCTAACTGCCAGCTGAACCTGCATCAATACAGTGTGGAGCTGGAGCAACACAGTAGGTCAGGCAGCATCAGAGGAGCAGGAAAGTCAACATTTCGGATCGGGATCCTTCTTCAGGGTTCTGATGAAGGATCCCGAGCTGAAACATTGACTCTCCTGCTCCTCTGATGCTGCCTGACCTGCTGTGTTCCCCCACCTCCATGCTGTATTGACTTTGACTCCAGCATCTGCAGTTCTTGCTATCTCCGAGCTGAACCTGATGTTAATCTAAAGAGTGTCCTGAACTAGGACTCTCAAGTCCCTTTGTGCTTCAGATTTCCAAAGCCTTTCCCCAGTTAGAAAATAGTCTACACCTATATTCTTCCTACCAAAGTGCCCAACCTCACACTTTCCCATATTGTGTTACATCTGTCACATCTTTGCCCACTCTCTTAGCCTCTCCAAGTCCTTCTGCAGCCTAAATAAAAACCGAAAGAACTGTGGATGCTGTAAATCAGGAATAAAAACAGAGGTTGTTGGAAAAGCTTAGCAGGTCTGGTAGCATCTGTGAAGAAAAAATCAGAACTGAGGAAGGGTCATTGAACCTGAAATGTTAACTCTGATTTTTTCTTCACAAATGCTGCCAGACCTGGTGAGCGTTTCCAGCAACTTTTGTTTTTGTTCCATCCGCAGCCTCCCTGCTTCCTCAAAGCTACCTGTCCCTCCACCTTTCTTTGTGTCATTTGCAAACTTAGCAACAATGCCCTCATTGCCTTCGTCAGATAGTGAATGTATAATGTGAATATTTGTGGGCCCAAAACTGACCCCCGCACAAGTGCACTAGTCACTGGCTGACATCCTGAAAAAGACTCCTTTATCCATACTCTCTAACTTCTGACAGTCAGCCAGCCTTCTATCCATGCCAGTACCTATCTCCCCACACCATGGGCTCTTGTCATAGTTAGCAGCCTCTTGTGTGGCACGTTGTCAAAAGCCTTCTGGAAATCGAAGGAAATTACATCCACCAACTCTCCTTTGTCTAATTTGCTCATTGCCTCCTCAAAGAATTGTAACAGATTTGTCAGGTGTGACCTCCCCTTGACAAAGCCATGCAGACTCAGCCCTATTTTACCATGCACCTCCAAGATCTCTGCAATCTCATCCTTAATAACGGACCCTAAAATCTTACCAATGACAGAGGTCAGGCTAACCGGCTTATAGTTTCCTGTCTTCTTAAAGGGGCATTTACATTAGTCATTTTCCAGTTGTCTGAGACCCTTCCTGATTCCAGTGATTCCTGGAAGATCACCACCAATACCTCTGTAATCTCCTCAGCTATCTCCTTCAGAACTCTGGGTTGTAGTCCATCTGGTCTACCTTCTCCTCAATGATGGCCACTACACTCACCTCTGCCTCCTGACTGTACTGTCACTGAGTAGCAGAAATTTCATTGCCCTGAGGTGCTGAGATTCTTACATCATAAACTGCTTCACAATTCAGGTGTATATCCTTTAACACCAAGATTACATTATAATTTGAATTTCCGATATTGTTACTACGCAATATTGTCATAACGTGTATTTCCAGTCTATGCAGAATGGGAAGTGCTGTTTTATAATGAAAAACAAATATTTCCTGAGAGAGACAGTGAACTCACTCACCTTCCCTTGGAGAACTGGTCAAAGTCATCCTGGAGCTTGTGGCGATTAAGAATCTCTCCAATCAGATAGCCCGTGGAAAATTCCCTTGCAAATGTGCTGGGCTCTGGAATGGAAACAACAGTTAATCCAAAGACAATCAGGCAAAAAAAGGCACAGCGACCCTCAGCAGCTTAATCCTCCTCCTCCCGCTCCCTGACTTTGTCCATCGCTCACTCTCTCTATCCCTCAGTCACTGACTCAGCCTCTTCTTCACTGGATTCCACTGTGTGTAATCATCTATCTCACCCCATGACACATCATCCGTTTGCAAGTGAGTGTCTCTCTCTCTCTCTATTTTTAAATTCCAATCTACCTCTCTTTCCCTTCTTTCTATACAAGCAATACGCACTCCCTGCCTTTCCCTGTCTCTCCATGAGATCTCAGTAGGGCTCTCTTCTTTGCTCATCCAGCTCTGAACTTCTGATCTCCCTCTTTCCAACTCTCTGAATTTCTCTTTCTACCCATTTCTTCACTCAGACTATCTTTTTGGTCCCCTTTCTATCTGGTCTTCCTTCAGTCTCTAGTCATCTTCCTATTCCAGTTTCTCACTCTCTCTGTTTCTAACTCACAGTACAGTACACACTTTCTCCTGTTATTTCCCTCTGTGTCCTCCTCTCCCACCAGTAGTTAAACTCTCATAGTCACACTCATTTCCAAACAACCCTATCTCTCTCTTTCCTCTCCCTAAATCAGTTCCTTCCCTCTCTCTAACTTCTGACAGTCAACCAACCCGCTATCTATGCCAGTACCTATCCGCTCACACCATGGGCTCCTATCTTATTTAGCAGTCTCTTGTGATGCACATCGTCAAAGCCCTTCTGGAAATCACAATGAATCACATCACTAACTCTCCTTTGTCTAACATGCTCCATCTCCCTCTTTCTTTTTCACACACTTACCAAATGTACTGTCATTGCCTCTTCTCTCCGTCTCTAACATTTACTCTCTCTCACTTCTCTTACTGTCTCTAACCCCTCTTTCACTCTCTCTGTCTTCTCTCCCTGTGTCATAACCTTCTTTCACTCTCACTCACTTGTCTCCCTGAGTCTTCCCTTTCTCTCCCCGATACATTTTTTCCACCCACTCCCCAGTTCCCATGTCCCTCTCCTTCTCTCTCCATCCTTCATTGAATCACATTTTTGCCCTGAAAATACCCTCACACTCTCCCCCTCAC